AGGGAAAACCAGTAGGGAGGGGGTGTGCCAGGTGAGTGTGGGCAGTTGTGCAGCTTGCCGCTTTAATCAGGTGGTCGGGCACGTTTACTGATAACATGGCGTTTGGAGCTAAGATCTGAAGGAGACAGAGGTGTAAGCCACATAGATTCTCGGGGAGATGGCATTCCAGGTCGAGGGACAGCCGAGGCAGAGGCGGTGAGTAAGGCTCACTCTGACGCCTGTCGTGTGCACAGCGTGATGATTCTGAGACTGCTCTGCTCTCCTTATGCGTATGTAGACACTTTTTCACACCTGTTGTTTGGAAGTTAGGTAAATGCACAGTGGTTGAATTCTTGCTCTTCCCTCTGGGACCTTAGAGCCCACCCCCCTTAGCACTTCAACATTTTTTTTTTTTTGAGAGAGATTTTTGCTATAGGGCGTGTGCGCTCTCCAGAAAGACAGAGAGAGAGAGACAGAGAGACAGAAAGCGAGAAATCACCCCCCAGAGGGGATGGCCACGCCGCAATCCCTTCTCCTCCATTCTCCTCTCGGGATCTTGGGCACGCACACACAGGCGCCCGGCGTGAGGTTAAGTCAACGGGTCCAGGACTTGAACCGTGGTCAACTACGTGGGAATCCAGCGACATAGCCATTATGCTAACGGCTGGTCCCAGTACTTCACGTTTTATGTTTGGTCACTGTTTTGTTTTCCTCGAATGAAAACTTCATGAAGCAAGGTTTTTTGTGTTTGTTTTACGTACTACTAGGGACTAGTAGTATAGTGGGTACCTAATAACTTTGTTTAATGGTGAATGAATGAATGGTCATGTGACTCCTTAGTAATTCTTTATGAACTGAATGTCTACAGATGCTTCCTAAAAAAGAAAAACAACTTCTTTTTAAAAACTTCTAATTTGTATGTGAATATAAACATGTACATTATGTACACATAATTATTTTTAATATAAAACTAGGAAGTAATTTTAGTGTTTTTTTTTTTTTTAAAGAAAAATTGAATGATCTTTTTTGGCTTTATACTTTGGAAACTAATGATCAGGGAAAAGACGTTTTACCTATCTTCTTGATTATAGTTGTATACTACATTAAAACTTTTTATTTTACTTAACTTTAATTAATTAACTAATTTTTCATTTGGAGAGAGAGAAAAAGAGAGAGAAAGCAAGCTGCCAGGTCTGGGACTTGAGCCGTGGTTGGCCGCATGGGAGTCCAGTGCCCCTAACTACCATGCCACCTACTGGCCCTGCTACATTAACATTTTTAGTGCAATTGGGTTTGGGTTTTGGTGTTCGACTTGACGAGTCCTGTGAATTCTCTGTCCGTGTCGTGTAACGAACGTGTTGCCCCTTTTCTGATGGAACTGCACCTGCCGTTTCCAGGTTGTGTGATAGCTGAGCTTTTCACGGAAGGGGCGCCGTTGTTCGACCTCTCTCAGCTCTTGGCGTACAGAAACGGACACTTCTCCCCAGAACAGGTGCTGAATAAGATTGAAGACCGGAGTATCAGAGAACTGGTAACTACCGTACTTGCCTCGAAGTGTTTGAGACGGCACCCCCATCTTTGCCTCAGTCAGCTCTCTGGAACGTGGTGAATTTGGGATAAAGCAGATGAATACGTTAGCCTATTGCTATTTTATTAGGGAGAAATGTACAGTTTTTTCCCCTCAGGCACAGAGTTCATTTGATTAAAAAAGCTATCATTTATCTTCCTTCTTAAAATCTTTAGCTTTGCTTTGGACAGAGTTAGAAGGAAATAAGGTGATACCTGGTCGGGAGAGGTTGTCCTGGCTAGAACGTGCTGTAGAAAATGAAGAAAACGCAAGGCAGCCGGTGGTGTGATGGTGAAGCTGCTGAACTTCCACATGGCCCACTGTGGTTCGAGTCCCAGACCTGGTGGCTTGAAAATCATACTGAATGTGTGTGTGCGCATTCCTACAATCCTGAGAGGAGAATGGAGGAGAAGGATCTGGGACATGGCCATCCCCCTGAGGGGTGCTTTCTCATGTTCTCTCTCTCTCTCTCTCTCTGGTGAGCACACATACCCTATGGTAAAAACCTTTAAAAAAAAAAAGAAGAAAACATATTTAAATGAATGAGATCAGAAATATCCACTTGATTATAATACACCAGTGTAGGGCTATTTCATGTAGAAGCAAGTATCTTTGTATTTTCCTTGGCCCCTGAGGGCAGTTCTGGAAGGGAGCGGTGGAATCACAGTTTGGGCCAGCTTGCTGGGCTAGTGGTGAAGGGAACCAGGTCCACATGGCCTGTCCAAGCCCACAAGGCATGTGTGCAGGGATGAGCGGATCCCAGCAGGCCAGGGAGGAGGCAGGGTTGCAGTATGACCAAACTCCATGGAAGGGTGCTTTCTCACACTCTGTGTCTTTCTGGCAAACAAAACACATAAACAATAAAACCCGCACACACAAGGAATCACAAATTAGTGTAGCAGAATGAGCGAGGAATTCCGTGAGAGCTTATCCTAGGCATGTATCTGCTGGTAGAGGTATCTTTTGTTGTTGTTGTTGTTTGTGTTTGTTTTAAGTTTTTTTTGCTCTAGGGCATGCACACTTGCCAGAGAGAGAGAAAAAGTGAGAAATCACCCCCAGGAGGATGGCCACACCGCGGCCTCTTCTCCATTCTCCCCTTGGAATCCTGGGCGTGATGCACATGCCCCTGGTGTGTTCTTTCAGGCCGCTGGGTGACGAGTTCAAACTGCAGTCTGGCATGTGGGATCCAGCTTCCTTAATCACCCTGCCACTGATGGCCTGAGGGTATCTTTCTTTCTTTTTTTTAAGAGAGAGATTTTTGCTATAGGGCGTGCGCACTTGCTGGAGAGACAGACAGAGAGATCCCCCCTGGGTATGGCCACGCCACAGTCCGTTCTCCTCTCAGGACTCTGGGCACATACACGTGTGCCTGGCTGAGTTTCAAGCTGTCAGGTCTGGGACTCGAACTGTGGTCCACTGCATGGGAGTCTAGCAACATAACCGTTCTGCCATCTGCTGGACCCTCCTGGATCACGCAGTAATAACGCTTATGATAATGACTCAGTCAGGAAAAGATTTGGTATATTTAGAATATTTTCTGTAGCAAGGCAGGGAAACATAATACATTCTAATTCCTCTTAATGATGAATATTAAAAATAAGATTTCGGTGGAAGACAGTTCAGTCCATGTTCAGTGAACAGCACCCTGGATTGGGAGTTGGCCTACCTGGCTGGCCTGTCTTTGGGTAGGACACTTGTTCATAACGTGACTTTAGCTAAGTAAGGTCATGTCTCTGGGCCTCCCTTTTTATAACAGTGAAAGGAGTGCATTTGTTTAATTTTTAAAACACGTAAATCAGAGGTAAAGTGATTTTATTAGATGACTTTTCCATATAGTACATTTGTTCCCACAGATTCAGTGTAGGCTCTTATTTAGAATACACCAGAAAGCTCAGGTGACAAGGAACATTTTTTTTTTTTTGGAGAAGTTTTTTCGCTATAGGGCACGTGCGCTCGCCAGACAGAGAGAGACATAGAGACAGAAAGCGAGAAATCACCCCCCAGGGGGAATGGTCACGCCACAATCCCTTCTCCTCCATTCTCCTCTTGGGATCTTGGGCATGCACGCACACACACCTGGCGTGAGTTTAAGCCACCGGGTCCGGGACGCGAACTGCAGTCGACTACGTGGGAGTTCAGTGTCATAGCCATTACGCTAACTGCTGGTTCCCGTGACAAGGTACATTTTAACAACGTTTCATTTATTTAAATAATGACTGTGATACACTGTGAATGTCCAAGAAAGATTAAACTATATTTTGCATAGCGAAAAAATTATTTCCTTACATTACTAGAAAACACATGACATTCAAATTAGGCAAATCATTGTTACGTTCACAGAACGTACTGTTCCTTTTATACGCCTTGAAAAGTTTAAGGGGAATCCTCCTTTTGACTAGCTCCTCGATCTACACTTAAATCTTGTAGTCCTTCTGATGGTGGCAACGAGGTTCTAGAACAGAACTCTTAACTGGAGATACGTAAATAGTTTTTAAGTGTTCTGTGATTCCTTCCCACAATTACATATAAATTTGTATACAAAAATTGTGTGTATTCATTTTTCTCTGTAGAAGATGCATTGCTTTCTTTAGATTCTCTGGTATCTTGTCAGGGAAGTTTTAGGTCGCTGGGTTGCGAGCAGCAGTGTGCTATGGCCTGTCTATGGGGGATGCTCAGCAGAAGGTAACCCTTATGTGTCAGGACCATCTGTAACACATCAGCGTGAAATCTCCTTTGCTTTCTAGGACAGTAGTGAAACCGCATACTTAGTAGTCAGGTTCTAAACGTAGTTTGTCAGGTGAAGATTGAAAATTGTCAGATTTACTTTGGAAATCTGTAATAGCACTTGTAAATTGCCCTGGTAGCTTTCCTTTTCAAATGTACTTTCTTCAAATCTCTTTCTATTCCCTTTCTCCCTGCGGTACAGGTAACGCAGATGATCCACCGAGAGCCAGATAAACGCCTGGAGGCGGAGGACTACTTGAAGCAGCAGCGTGGCAATGCCTTTCCAGAGATATTTTACACCTTCCTTCAGCCGTACATGGCCCAGTTTGCTAAAGAGACGTTTCTGTCTGCCGACGAGCGTGTCCTGGTTATACGGAAGGATCTGGGTAACATTATTCACAATCTCTGTGGGCAGGAGCTGCCGGAGAAAGCGGGAGAGCCCAGGGAGAGCGGGCTGGTCATCTTGGTGTCTGTCATTACATCCTGCCTCCAGACGCTCAGGTACTGCGATTCCAAACTTGCTGCTTTGGAGCTCATCCTCCACTTGGCCCCAAGATTAAGCGTAGAGATCCTTCTGGACCGTATTACTCCGTACCTCCTGCATCTCAGCAGCGACTCTGTTCCCAGGGTGAGAGCTGAAGCCTTGAGGACGTTGACCAGAGTTCTTGCTCTTGTCAAAGAGGTGCCTCGCAACGACACCAACATCTACCCCGAGTACATCCTGCCCGGCATCGCACACTTAGCCCAGGACAGCGCCACCATTGTCCGCCTAGCCTATGCCGGTGGGTCCCTCGTCCCAGTAACAGCTGCGCAGGCATTGTTAAAGTTACTGATGATACTACTTCTTTTTACCTTTTAAAACTGATTTGGGAATTCCAAGTGTGAACTTTTAAAAAGTGTCCTTTTAAATTATATTATAGCTAGTCTGTTGGTGGGACTCAACTTGTGTGTTCTTTTATTTTTGAACTTGTGAGAATTAGCAAGTGAAAAAATATATAATACAGAATTTTTTTTATTTTGGGAAGTTTTACATTTAACTAGGAATAACACTGATGTTTACAAGCATGTGCTTCTAATCTCGGACTTTAGACCTTTCTAAAGTTTCTCTGAATGAGTAAGCTTGTTAGACTAAGTTTTAAGATACGATAGTGAGTCTGTTGTGTTGAAAATGATTCATCTCACTGGGCAGTCTGGTGGTGAAAGAACCTAGCAAACCAGTTTAATGGGTTCTAAGTTCTCACTTAAAGTCGCGCTTAGCCCGTGTGGTTTCTCTATGACAAGGCAGATGTGCTTTGCACACCCCCCTGTTCTACTCTGTAGAGGATGCAGAATTCAGTCATAAATTCAGGTGGTATATGTTCATATTTTTAGCTACTTTAATTCTGAAGGGTTATTTCTGCATGGAAAATATCACTGAGACATTTGCATAAGTCTTCATTTGTTTCTCTAACGTAATCTGGTGGGAATTGGGCTCTGGTTTGGAATCTGCACGGCACATGTGTGTGGTGACGACCTGGCCACTGTCTGGTGGGAATTGGGCTCTGGTTTGGAATCTGCATGGCACATGTGTGTGGTGACGACCCGGCCACTGTCTGGGAAGGGCTTGTCCAGCTCGGTCATCTCACCTTACCTGCAGTGACCTTGATGGCACGTGTGGACCCGTGTTCGAAATGGCTCTGGTCTTCGTGCTGGCACATCCACAAGGTGGTGGCTGAGGGTTTCTTTTCAGTACAGTTTTATTTGCATTTATTACTGTCTACTTACTTATTTATAGTTTCTGGTTCCCTTCACTGTATAGGTATAAGCTTCAAGCCTAGAAATACAGGATTTATTAAGACTTTTTCTGAGTTTATCATATAAAAGTATATTTATAACTCACTGGGCAAAAAGTAATTGAGCCAGATAGAATCAAGTGTAATGAAAGCTGATAGTTCTAAACACAGTGTTTTCTGTACCAGCTATATGCCTGTACTCTCGGTTCAGTACATTTTTAATCTGTCCTCAGTTGTGTTAAGTGGGTCCAAGTGTGATGCGTAGGTGCCGCGTTAACATCTGCATTCGGCTACTAGTAGCCATGGCAGAGGAGCAGCTGCTACTTGTGGAGACCCACCTCCGCTCTTCTAGAGGAGCTGCCGAGGTCTCAGAGCTCACCTGCAGCACCCTGAGCAGGAGGTGGGAGCTAGGAGAGGCCGGTAGCCTGGCGGCTGTCTGGTCTAGTTCTGGTCCTCAGAGCTGCTTGTACTGACCTTGCTTTCGAAGCAGTCTCTGTCTAATCCTCTGAGTCTTAATGGTCTCAGCCCACAACAGCCCAAGGCCAGCCAGCGCCTTACAGCACCCTGTCTTCATGGCCCAGTGTGTGATAAAACACCTGCTGTTTTTTTAATAATTATTTTACTTAACTTTATCCATTTATTTATTTTCATTTGACCAGAGAGGGGTAGAGTGTGAAAGATAGAGAGTGAGAAAGCAAGCCACCTGGTCTGGGACTCGAACTGTGGTTGGCTATGTGGGAGTCCAGTGCCCTTAAACCACCATTGCCACCTGGCAGTCCCGATAAATGCAACCAGAAGTCTTTTTGAGAGATGCCAGCATGGATTTCTGTCTGTGTGAAGTGAACCGTCAACTTTGCTGAGGCTTATGGACTTAAACAGGGAACTGGGCATAGAACTGCCCAGACTCTCAAGGTACCCATTGAAGAATTGGGTCGGTCGGAAAAGTCATGGCACAGTTTTGCATTTAAAACCCGAAAAAACATGTCACGACTTTTCCAGTGACCCAGTAAGAGCTTTTTCCTAATAAAGATATACTGAGTCAGGCGGGGCTGAGGCTTATTATCGGGGCATGGCCCACGGCCCACGTCCCCATCTGCAGGGTGGGCAGGCATTGCAGGGTGTGCGCATCTTGCTGTCTTCAGCATGCGATCTGAGTCGTGTCGAACCTGGCTGGGGTGGAAAGCAGGACTCCTAGGCGAAGGCGGGCGTCCTGTTTGAGCGACTCATTTTGATCTCAGAAATGTGGTGCAGGAGGAAATGGAGTCTTTTAGATTTGAGCTGAAAGTGGTGAAACTCTGTGTTCAGTGCTGCTCACAGCTAAGGAGAGAGGGCGATCTGGTGGTGGCCAGATGTAAGGAGAGTGGGAGGAGGAGGAGGACAAGGGCGGGAGAGGGAGAAGAGAGGCCGAGCCTGTGCAGGTGCGGTCGGTGGGACGCGTGCAGCGAGGTGAGAAGTCGGTGTTCCACAGTGGGGAGGCGAGCCCAGCAGCCTTAGTACTAACGGTCAGGAGAGGGGAGCAAGTACCAGCTGCAAACAGCGGCGGGCTCACACCGGTCCACTGAGACCTTCAGGGCCCCGTCCATGGCACTGTCCTGACAGCAGCGGGCTCACACTGGTCCACCGAGACCTTCAGGGTTCCCGTCCATGGCACCGTCCTGACAGCAGTTGGTTCTGCTGGGGCTGGCTCTTAGAGGTCGCGGTGAGTCCTCACATGTGTGAGGAGCTGAGCCGTCTAGTAAGGGAAGCGTCAGAAGTTGAGCCCAGGTGTGTTTGGTTCCAGAGCCCAGCTCGATCTGTCGTTGAATGTGCATGTGTCTACGTTAGTCTGATCAGTCTCTCTCAGTTGTCATGATACTGGTTGGAGGATTATCTCTATTAAGCTTTTTTGTTTGTTTGTTTTGGATATGGTATTATATTTTGGTTTATTTATTTATTTATTTTGGAGAGGTTTTTGCTATAGGGCGTGTGCGCTCCCCAGACAGACAGAGACAGAGAGACAGAAAGTGAGAAACCATCCCCCAGGGGGGATGGCCATGCCGCAATCCTTTCTCCTCCATTCTCCTCTTGGGATCTTGGGTATGCACGCACATGCGCCCGGCATGAGTTTTAAGCCACCGGGTCCGGGACACGAACCGCAGTCGACTACTTGGGAGTCCAGCGACATAGCCATTATGCTAACTGCTGGTCCCAATATTTTGGTTTATTTTTAAAAAGAAGTTTGCATTTCAGTTATTAAAACTGGCACTTTGGAAATGGTTGTAGATTATGAGATTGGTTACTAGAAATATGATTAGATTAAGTGCTAAATGGAACATTGTGCCCCTTAGTTTTGAGGTTATCTATGTATATAAAGACTTATGGAAGAAAAGTCATAAGCATTACAAAGGTTTAAGGTGATAAGTATTATAAATTTCTGTTTTCATTTTATAGAAAACATAGCTCTGCTGGCAGAAACAGCTTTGAGATTCCTGGAATTAGTACAGTTGAAAAATCTCAATATGGAAAACGACCCCGGTAGTGAAGAAATTGACGAGGTGCCACATCCGAATGGAAACTACGACACAGGTGGTATAACTTTCTCTTCTGGCATTTCTGGTCTGTGGAATAAGTTCTAATGCTCCCTTGCAGAATCTGCCCTTTGACGTTTTCATGTCAGAAGGCAGACCAGAGCGCAGACGGAGGTGCTCCTGGCGGCTGGCTGTCCCCTCGGCCCTCCTACGCCGTTGTCTAGGTGGAAGACGGCCAGCCTCACCAGAGGCTCCAGGCACAGTTGTTTTCCAGCCAGAATTGATTTTTGTGACCAGTAAAGCTAGCTGGATTGTATAATTTTCATAAGATTAAAAAAGATGGTTCTTGTCATAGCTAAAGAATCTAAACCTCTTCTCCCGTGACATCCCGAGTATCCTCAGTCCTGACCTTTTGTTTCACGTTGTTGCATAGGCCGACTCTCCCCTTTACTGTGAAGGAGTACCCGTGCTGCTCTCCACAGGCTTTTAGTTAATGTTGATGGAAAGATTTAGAAAGAGAACAATATGCTTAGTCTGCTTCAAGGTGTCTCTAGTTGAGGAAAAGTAGGGAAATCTAGTTTTTAGATTTGTACGCCACAGACGACTGGAATGGCTCTTATTTGTTGTAGAGGCACCCTTCGTAGATGGTGGGTGTGGTCTGGAGTTGGACACATGGAGCACTTTTGAACTTCCAGGAGGATGCATCAGAAGGGAAATCCCTTTTTGTGGGAAACAGAAAATTGTTCCCTGTATTCAATGCCCATGGACTTGGACCTTTTTAGACAATGATGGTAGATGTTAAAGTTTGGGGGGGAGTTAACCTAACGTTTTTGTTTGCGTGTGAGATCTGTCACCTTTATCTTTGACAGTAGCTGCACAGTAGCTGGATGGAGCAGGAGTGGCCTCTGTCCTCAGTTGCTTATTCAGTAGGTCATTGCTAGACGTGAGCTCTGCATCGTGTGTATGAGCCTATCTTAAACACCAGGGATGTGGTGGTGTGTGAGACACCACCCGCTCCTGACCTTACGGCAGTAATAAATGACAAGGCAGAGTGAGCAGGAGGGAGGCCAGGGAAGACGACCGTCACCAGATCAGGAAGGCCTTGCCAGGACTGTTGGTGCTTCCCAACATACAATGAGGTGACGTTAAAGATGCTTTCCAGAAGTACTGCTCAGTACCACGGTGTCATGTGGTGAGCCAGTCCAGAGCGTTCATGTTCTCGATTAAACCAATCTTATTGGGCCAGGGTGACCTTTCCCTGGTGTTTCTCCGCGATTTTCTTTTCAAGGCAGTAAATACAGCCGTTAGAGAGCGACCACACCGTGATGTCTTCAGAGCTCTGTGTGGTGGGCGACATGGTGATATGTTTGCCAAGGTGGCTTCTGTGGTCGCTGTACTTCTCTGAGGACTGAGAAAGAGGACTGGGTCTTATGTGTGAGCAAAAAATTAATTCTGTCCTTTTTTTTTAAGAGCTCCAAGCCTTACATGAAATGGTCCAGCAGAAAGTTGTCACTTTGTTAAGTGACCCTGAAAATATCGTGAAACAGACTTTAATGGAGAGTGGAATAACACGCCTGTGTGTGTTCTTCGGACGTCAGAAAGCCAATGACGTTTTGTTGTCACACATGATCACCTTCCTCAATGACAAGAATGACTGGCACCTGCGTGGAGCTTTTTTCGATAGTATAGTTGGTATGTTTTTGTTCGTTAACTCATTTTCTAAGATTTCAGGTTGTCTTCTCAGATAAATACTTCATGCAATCTGAGAAATTGGTGGTGGTACTACCAAATTTATTTAATAATGACATGAGTTAGTATTTCTGTCTTCATGGTGCTTTTGGGTAATGGAAGTATTCTAGATGATCAGGGAGTTGGGCTTTTTTATATATATACATACACATTTTTAATTTTATTTATCATGGTTATTTTAAAATTTGCTGTGGGGCGCACATGTTCATCAGAGAGACACAGAGAGAAAGTGAGAAAGCAAGCCACCAGGTCTTAGACTTGAACTGTGCTTGGCCATGTGAGAGTCCAGCACCTCAACCATCAAGCCACCTGCTGGCCCCCAGGGGGCTGGTTAATTACTGTGATGCATCCCTATGAAAGAATACCATGTTTTCATTAAAAATTATATTTTAAAAGATAATGACAGAAAATACCAAAGACTAAAATATACTAAAATATGACTAATGATTATCTAAGGTTGGGATATTATTGCTTCATTTATATTTTTTGTATTATTAGGTTTTTTTAAAAAGACTTATTTATTATTGTTAATTTTTAAAACTTTGTCATAGGGCACATGTGCTTACCAGAGAGGGTCACAGAGAGAGAGAGAAAGTGAGAAAGCCAGCCACTTGGCTCGGGACTTGAACCACAGACAGTCATATGGGAATCCAGTGCCTAACCTACTATGCTACCTGTGGGCCCGCATAGTACTAGATTTTCTTTTTCTTTTAAAAAAAAAATTATTTATTTAAATTTATTTATTCATTCATTTATTTTTAGTTTGACCAGAGAAAGACATAATGCGAGAGAGAGAGAAAGAGAGAGAGAGCGAGAGAAAGGGGAAGCAAACAAGCAAGACACTAGGTCTGGGCTTGAATCATGGTCGGCCATGTGGGAGTGTCTAGCGTCTTAACCGCCATGCCACCTGCTCATATCCTATTATTAGATGTTCTGAAGTGAACATATTTCACATTAGAACCAGAAAATAACAGTTAAATTATAAGTATGGTTGAAAATCAGTCTAACTAAAAAGATAATTAGAACTTGGAGGCTTGGCCTTTTTTTTTTTTTTTTTACTTTGCTCTTTCTTTATACAGGTCTTGATTTTAAGGTTTATCTAAAGAAGGCAGTCACCTTGTGTTTTATGTGTCCGATTTCTTTTTGTATGCATCAGGTTCCAAATTAAAAATAAATGAAGTATATTTTCAGTGGATTAAGTCACATTTGAGATAGGATTTAATATTTATCTCTTTTGAATAATAACTGATCCCTTTCATACTAAATATACTGATCTTTGCAGTTTTAGATTTGGTCACTTAGGAAATATGTAATAAATCCATGTCACTAACCTTTACCCACTAACCTTCGTGTGTTACTTCCCACGTAGTTCTGTCAGCTTGCTGGGCGTCCCCACAAGGTTTGAGGACCATTCTATGCATTGGGCGTCTTGGCTTCTGTCCAGACTTCCTCATGAGGGAGCAGAGGCTGTAAGGCTTTACATTTTGGTTTCTAGTAATCTGTGAAAGCAGTTGCTGTGAAGTTTAATGTTGGATCTTTCATACATAATAAAATGAAGGAAACCCATCTGGCCACAAGATTGATAGTTCTGTAAATGCTGTCATGATGTTTTGGAGAAAAGAGCATTTCTACTTTGAAAAGCTTTGAAATGTCCTGCTTTTCTTGCTTTGTCATTACTGGAAGTCTCCATACTTCTCTTTAGAGGTTTTGTGTCTGCGTCAGCTGCTGATGCATCGCAGGCTTGTGTCTGGGAGTGTCAAACTCAGCTCCGGATCACTGTGTGCTCTGCTTCCTGCATGTCCGTCTGTCTTGCCCTCTTCTTCCAAAGAATCTTATGTTGTTTCTTTTCTTGAAAAAAAGGTAGAACTCTCCCCATTCGTGTTCACATGTGGTGTGAAACAGATCTTTATTCTTTTTCAGTTGCTAGTAGTACTCGCGTCTCTGTGTGTGACAGTGACACGTGCCTGTTGTCGAAAGCGTGGAGGATGAAGACCTCTGGAGAACACAGTCATCCCTACTCCACAGCCCGTGCTCGGCCTCTTAGTGCCCTGCTCTTCCTTCTTGTAGGTCTTCGTTTTGCTCCTTCCCAGCTGTCTGGTTCTAGCAGGCTCTCGTAGGTGAGGTACCGACTGTGGGCTTCAGGTTCTGGCTTTGCCTCTTGCTAGTTGTGGTTCTTGAGAAAGTGATCTCATTTCTTTTGTGCATGTGTTCTCCTGTCTTTAAAGCGAGAATAATTATTGTAGCTATCTCATTGACCGATGTGATGATGAAGGGACTACCATGTAAACGTTTCTACTTTTTTCTTTCGTAAATTTGTCAGGGGTCATGTGCTCTTGCAGAGGGAGGGAGAGGAGGAAAGTGCCCTGCCACGGGGACTGGTCGCGCCATAACCCCTTTTCCTTCACTGCTCCTCCTCTCAGGATTTGGGGACATGCACTCCCTTGCCCCAGGTGTTTTTGTGCCTCTGGGTCTAGGGCTTGAGGCTGTGCTCCTGGCTGTGTGGGACCCAGCTCCCTCAACCACCAGGCTGGGGCTGGCCTGTACCACCACTTTATTATGTCTTGGACTTCATTTTGCGAACATACTTTTTTCTTTTTTTTTTTTTAAGAGAGAGATTTTTGCTATAGGGTGTGTGTGCTTGCCAGAGAAAGACAGAGAGACAGAAAATGAGAAGTCACCCGTTGGGAGGGATGGCCACGCTGCAATCTCTCCTCCATTCTCCTGTTGGGATCTTGGGCACACATGCACACTTGCTTGGCGTGAATTTTAAGCCACTGGGTCTAGGACTCGAACCATGAGGAACTCTGTGGGATACCAGCAGGGTATCCATTACACCATCTGCTGGTCCCAATTTTTGTCTTTTTAAAAATAATCTTTATGTAGTCAGTTTATTTGATTCGTGATTATTTTTTCAACATTGTACGTAAAGCCTTTTTCTATTCCAGAATTAGGTTAATCTCTTGTACATTTGTTGTCTATTTCTTGTAATGTTTAATCTTCATTTTGGGCTGTGGTATAACATAAAACCTAAATATTTTTTCTTCTCAGAACTATAGCTACTTTTCTCAACACAATATACTAAACATTTTCTTTCTCATTGCCTTTTTTTTTTTTTTTCGGAGAGTTTTTTTTTGCTATAGGGCACGTGTGCTCGCCAGAGAGACAGAAAGCGAGAAATCACCCCCCAGCGGGGATGGCCACACTGCAGTCCCTTCTCCTCCATTCTCCTCTTGAGATTTTGGGCAAGCATGTATATGTGCCTGCCATGAGTTTAAGCCACAGGGTCAAGGACTCGAACCGTGGTCAACTACGTGGGAGTCCAGCGACATAGCCATTAGGCTAACTGCTGGTCCCATTTCCCATTGCTTTTTGAACCTTTATCATCTTTAACACTCCTTCTAGTGAGTCAGTTTGCTGGATAGTCTCATTTCATTTATTTTTCTGTCCTTGGACTAAAATAATACTCAGCCATATAATATTATTACTTATGGTCAGTTTTAGTATCTCTTAGAATAAGTTCCCAGATATTCTTCATGTCCATTATGTTAAAAAGGTTTTAAAGTTTGTTTTATGATCACACATGGGAGTGAGAAGCATTCTCTCTTCGAGAGAGCGGGAGAGGGAGAAGCACTCGTGACAGAGTCCCCTCTCGGCCCGCCAACCCGTCAGAGTAGTGGATACGCGCGTGCCTCTGTGGTCAGGCCAGCCCTGGTCCTGAACCAGTGGTCGGCTGGATGGTCTCGCACTGCAGCTGAGTTTGCTGCCGACTGTACCACCAAGCTGGGCCCAGACCATCTCCGCTTACTGTACATTTCAGTTTGTAAAGTTCCTAACCATAATCTACTACAATTTTAGATGGTATTTTTTTTTTTGATAAATAGTACAGTTGTACAATTACTCTTTAATTATAGAGAAATGTACTTGATAAATTATTTGGAATTTATTTACAATTTATGAAGTTATTTTTGAAGACCCTTAGTTGCAGTTTCTATAGCAACTACTCCGGTTTGTTTTGGCTGGTGTCTTCAGGTGATTTTTACTGTATCTCTAATATTCTCATAGTAATATTTTGCAGTGATCAGTTTTGGATATTATCTTTTCAGGTTTTTTCCCTATGCCTGTTGAAGATTTAACTCATTTGTAACCATGCCCTGATTCCACTTCCCTTCTCTGTTTTTGAAATGTTGACCACTATTTTCAGTGCTTTGGTTTTAGTTTGTTGTTTTTATAACTTTAAGCAATTAATCCCATTTAAACAAATTTGTGCTAGAGGTGCATGCACTTCCCAGACAGGGAGGGAAGGAAAGTGAGGAAGCGTCCCAAAGAGGGTCGGCCACACCAGCCCCCTCCTCCACTCTTCTCGGGACTATAGGCACATGCGCACACCTGCCTGCTGTGTTCTTTGAGCTGCTGGGCCTGGGGCTCGAACTGTGCCGTGGATGCCAGATCTCGCCACCTGAATCGCTGTGCTTCCTGCTGGCTCAGCCCTGTCTTTAGGTTTTATGTTACACCACAGCCCAAAATGAAGATCATTTAAACAGTGTGTGTAAAGTGCTCTTCTGGTTTGCGTTTCAGAGAGGTCAGTACCCCTTTCACTTCTCCTCGCTCTTCTTCTTCTTGAGAATTCTGAGTTCCCAACTAATGGTTTTGTTGACATGGTTAATAACGTGTATGTTCTGTTCTGCAATGACAAATCTTTTGTGCTTTTTTTATTATTTTTAAATTGCATGTGCACACGTTGGAGAGAGTGGGAAGGGGGAAAGTGAGAAATACCCCGAAGGGGACGGCCACTCTGCAGTCGCCTCTCACCCTCCTCTCAGGGTTCTGGGTGTTCCTGGACACGTGCCCAGCGCGTCTTTCCGTCTGTCAGGCCGTGTGGGACATAGCTGCCTAATACCACACCACCTGGCTGGCCTCTTTTGTTCTTCACACGGGATTTACGTGATTGTTAATGTGTAAAGATTATTGGCCCGTGCTGTCAGCGTGATGAAGTCTGCTTCTCCACAGTCTCGTTCTGTGACCCTCCTACCCCTGGAGTGTTTTTATAGCAAAGTCAGTGGGTTCTTTTTTCCTCTTTCAGTTACTACATACACTGTACAGCTTAATTTATTCCATGTTTAGAGCAACTTTTGTTTGTTGTCTTGAACTTTTAGATTCCTTCGTTTTCCTTTTAGGGAGCAAAGTAATATACGTGCTGTACCATATCTGTAATACCTAGCTTCCTTCTTACCACTTTTATTTGTTGCTTGAAATCTGTTTCATTTTGATTATTGGTGGCATTTTGCAGCTTCTTGGCTTTTCATTTGGCTTGACCGATTTCCAGATCTTTGCTTGCTCTCCTCCCCCTCAGCACCCACCCCTCAACTTGATTTCCTTGGTTAGACTTGTCGTTTTATATCCTCTGCCTCTTCCTCTTTATTTTGCGAGTTCATCCCCAAGAAACTTTCTTGGAAAAGGGTTGTGCAGGAGGTAAACCTTTACAGTCCTTGCATGTCTTTAAATGACTTACGTTGCTTCTTAATTAATCGGTGGGTTGGATATAGAATTTCTTTCACAGCTGAGAATTTTGCTGCTGTCTTCTCGCCTCCACTGTTGGGAAGGTCACTTGATGCCAGTCTGTTTCTTCTTCCTTTTTAGGAGACCTGCATTTTTCTTCTTGTAAGTTCATAGGAACTCTGTTTTCCCTTGATGGTCCAGGATTTCTTGACGATTTGCTTTGGTGTTCCGTCTGCATTTCCTGTGCTGGGTAGGAAGTACGGTGTTCTTCCCTGGATCTCCCTCGACATGTCTGGCTTCTGACCGATGGTGCTGTTTCACTTAATGCCGTAGGTACTTCCTGGCACCTGTGAGCCAGGTGATGTTGCTTCTCGTTTCAGGTGTCGCTGCCTACGTCGGCTGGCAGAGCTCCTCAATCCTCAAGCCCCTTCTGCAGCAGGGCCTTAGCGATGCCGAGGAGTTTGTTGTCGTGAAGGCGCTCAGCGCCCTGACCTGCATGTGCCAGCTGGGGCTGCTGCAGAGGCCCCACGTCTACGAGTTTGCCAGTGACATCGGTGAGTGTGTCCGTCAGACGGTAGGGAGGGTGGGAGCTTCGGAAAGCGGTCAGGTGTTGCAGAGGGAGAGCTGCCGTTATTGTTGCTGTTGGCATTCGTACATGCACGTGCACGCATGCTTGCATGTATGTGGGAGACAGGTGGGCAGATCAGTCTGACCCTCTAATCCTGGTTGGGAAATACTGCTTTGTCCTCACACTTTGTTAAGTCTCTGTGACCCCTGGAAAAAAAACAAGGCCTTCCCCCCCCCCCACACACACACACTGGAGGTTAAAGCTTAATAATTCTGTAGCTTAAACTTGTTTTTTGGACACTAGACTACTAGTCAGGTTGAAAGGTGGATGTGCAGAGTTTTCTGTGACATCTGTCACTGCTTCGATGCCAGTCACGAATTCGTATTGAAATGACTACTTCTGTGAGCTCGCGAAAGGAGTTAATTGCTTGGCCTGTATAGCACTAATCTACACGTGCTTCCTGATTTACTAGTGTTCTTTCGACTTTATATGTATGTGTGTCTGTATTTATGAAAGTGACAGGCATTAAGTAGAAACCGTAACTCTATATTAAGTTAAGGGACTTAGTGACTTAGAATAGTTTTGCATGACAATACTGTTTTTTTTTTTTTCCATGGTGCTCACGTTGTTGGCAGTCTTTCCTTTCACCTTGATCAGCTGTTTTTAGCATTTCTTTCTTTTTTTTGAGAGAAATTTTTGCTGTAAGGTGCGTACATGCAACGGAGAGACAGAGACAGGAAGAGAGAAAGTGAGAAATCACCCCCTGGGGGGATGACTGCGCCATAGTTCCTTCTCCATTCTCCTCCTGGGATTTTGAGCATGTGCACACACATGCCCAGTGTGAGTTTCAAGCCTCCGGGTTTGGGACTCAAACTGTGTTCAGCCATGTGGGAGTCCACTACCTTAACCACTATGCCACTTGATAGCCCTTGCTTTTTTTTCTTTTTTTTTTTTTAAATAATTATTTTATTGACAGAGAGAGGGATCTCTGGCTTGGGAGTCCCGAGGCTGGAGCTGCAGCGGGCAGCCCTGCCTCAGAATTCCTTGGCCTAGGGGTCGGAAGATGGGAGTGGGGTGTCTGTAGAGCTGAGGGCGTTCCTATGTGGTAAGGAGAAGAGAGAAATTTACAAATGAAAGAAGAGAAGGAGAGAGAGAGAAAAAAATTATTTTATTGAACTTCATTTATTTATTTATTTCAATTTGACCAGAGAGGGATGAGAGAGAGGGAAAGTGAGAAAGCAAGCTGCCAGATTCAGGATTTGAACGCAGTCCAGCACCCTTAACCATCATGCCACCTGCCAGCCCCTGTTTTTAGCATTTCTTATAAGGCAGGTCTAATAATGATAAAATCCTATAGCTTTTGTTTGTCTGGGAGTCTTAGTCTTTTCTTTGGGTTTCTGAAGGACAGCCTTGACTGGTGTAGTGTTTACTCTTGGTTGAAGGGTTTTTTTGTCCCTCGCCCCCTCAAGCACTTTAGCTATATTACCACACTTTCTCTTGGCTCATGAATTTCTACTGAGAAAAATCAAATTGCTGAAGCTTTCCTTGAATGCGATGTGTTGCTTTTCTCTTACTGCTTTGAAAATTCTTTCTTTCTCTTTGACGTTTGGAGATTTGATTAGGATGTGTTTGGGGAGGTTCTCTGTGTCGAATCTATTTAGGCTTCTTCGGGCTTCACAGAGAATATCCACCTCCTTCACCGCACTGGGAGATTTACTGTCATGTCTTTTTTTTTGGAGAGGTTTTTGCTATAGGGCGTGTGCACTCGCCAGAGAGACAGAGACAGAGAGACAGAAAGTGAGAAATCAGCCCCCAGAGGGGATGGCCACGCCGCAATCCCTTCTCCTCCATTCTCCTCTCGGGATCTTGGGCACGCACGCACACACGCCTGGCATGAGTTTAAGCCACTGGGTCCGGGACTTGAACCACGGTTGACTACATGGGAGTCCAGCGACAGAGCCATTACGCTAACTGCTGGTCCCTACTGTCATTTCTTTAAATAAACTTTCAACCACTTTCTTTTCCCTCTCCTCCTGGAATTCTCATAATGCATATCTTGGTTTATTTGATTAATGACATGTGTCCTGTTTTCTCTTTTTTTTCTTTTGGAGACGTTTTTGCTATAGGGCGCATGTACTCGCCAGAGAGACAGAGAGACAGAGAGATAGAAAGCGAGAAATCACCCCCCGGGGAGATGGACATGCTGCAGTCCCTTCTCCTCCATTCTCCTCTCGGGATCTTGGGCATGTACGCACACGCGCCTGGTGTGAGTTTAAGCTACTGGATCCAGGACTTGAACCGTGGTCGACTACATGGAAGTCCAGCGACATAGCCATGACGCCAACTGCTGGTCCCATGTCCTGCTGGTCCCATGTCCTCCTTTCTTTATTGTTTTTCATTCTTTTACTTTTTGTTCCTCTTGGTAATTTCAAATGACCTATTCTTGAACTCAGTGTTTTTTTCTTTTTTAAGAATGAATTTTATTCATTATTATTATTTTAATTTGACCTGAGAGAGACAGAGAAAGGGAAAGTGAGAAAGCAAGTCACCAGGTCCGAGATTAGAACCATGTTGGCCATGTGGGAGTCCAGTGCACTTAATCACCATGTCCCCTCTGGCCCCAGAGTCACTGATTGTTTTTTTTTTTGTCTCGATAGAGTTTCTTGTAGAAGTTTTCTATGGAATTTCTTAGTTCAGTTTTTCTGCTCCAGATTTTTGTATGGTTTCTATCCCTTTGTTAAACTCCTTCCTTTAGGCACTTACTCTTCTCCTTATTTTGTGTAGTTATTTGTGTTCTCTTGTGCTCACTGACTTTCTTTAAGACCATTATTTCAAATTCTTTGTTAGGTACTTTGTAGCTTTTCATTTTTTTAGGGTTCGTTACTGGTGCTTCCTTTTATTCCCTTCGGTGGTGTTTGTTTCCTGGATTATTTGACATCCTATGGCCTCACATTGGTGTGTGTGCATTTGAGGAAGCAGGTACCTCAAAAAAAAAAGCTTTCAACGGGTCAGCCCAGCCAGACCTTCTAGGCATGTTGTCTGGCGAGGTCTCTGGGTGGCGGTGCCAGTTTCCACAGGTGCCGGCCTGGTGCAGACTTCGGGCGTCAGTGTGCTGCTGGAACAGACCAAGTCTGAACCTGAGTCTGGGGACAGCCCTTGGACCTGGCCTCTAAGAGCTGGAATCTGAGTCTGTGGGGCGGCCCTCGGACCTGGCCTCTAAGAGCTGGCCTGGAGCCTCAGCCAGCAAGGCCAGTGTTGACACCTGAGCCTGCAGAGGCAGCTTGGTGTTGGGGTCTGCTGGGGTGACCTGCAGTCTGATCTACTGCAGTGGGCCTGGGTACTGAGTCCACGAGCCCTGGCCTCTGGGCTGACGGGGCCCTGGCGCTGGCCTGCAGGCTGTACCTGGGCAGGCTGTACCTGGGCCTCCGTGGCACTCCCTCCTGCAGAGCCGTGGCTCCTCAGCGTGGCCACCGTGCTGGGCCTGTTGCCCCTTTCCGTCTTCCTGCAGTCGTTTTAATACAGTGTTACAGATGAGTGGGTGCCCACCCATCTTTAGCCCTGGCTTAAAACCAGCAATTTTAAACCCTCAGAAAGGAGGTGACTGCTTTTTATTTTCTTACGGCATTATTGACATCCGCGATAAGGAAACACTGTCACAGTGGCTCTGTCGGGTGACCTTGTGCCGCGGGGTCATTGCGTACGTCAAGCACCTGAGAGTAGCATGGCGGCGCGTTGTCTTTCTCAGTCAAGTTACAGGGTGAGCGGTGTCAGCCCGACAGCTCGGACTACGTACCAGCTGGCTTGATCTATGCCTTTCTCTCCCCCTTCAGCCCCCTTCCTGTGCCACCCCAACCTGTGGATACGCTATGGCGCTGTGGGCTTTATCTCCGTGGTCGCCGGTCAGATAAGCACAGCCGACGTCTACTGTAAACTGATGCCGTACCTCGACCCGTACATCACGCAGCCCATAATACAGGTACAGACCGCCGAGTCCGCGCCTCCTGACCGTGCCCGCTCAACGGACGCTCGGGTCGTCCTGTCTCTGTACAGCTCTAAAACTGACGTTGAGTGACAGGGTAGTAACCCTGTTTTCAAGCGGTTAGCGTTAATGGGCCACGCACCCTTGGAGACGGGAAAACTCCGAGTATTGTATTATATATCAGGCTGGACACCGTACTCTCTTCTGTGGAATACTGTAGAACCGAACGGTTAAGGTGAAGTACAACCTGGCAGAAAAGCACATTGATGGATCTCTGTTCTTATTGTAGAAAGTATAGCTGATTACAGCCAGAGTTACCATCTGTGATAAATTAGAAAAAGTCTTTTCAAATGCTTTTTTTTAGCCATTAGCTGGTTCTAGATTCCTTTTTTTTAAATATCTTACACCTCTACCTTCAGCAATATAGCACTTGATGATAAACTTTGGATCTTTGGTTTGTATGAGGCAAATTTTATTTACCAAGCGTGTCAGTGTCTAGACCCTTCATCTTGCTGGTCAGCCAGTTATCAGAATAGGTACTTAAATTGAATGGAGTGTTGAAGGATGATTTTGGCTGTTAAAATACGCTGAGCTATCTTATTTTTATTAAAGTTACATCCCATTTGAAAGTTGGCTTCTCTTTCTCCTACATTTGTATCTCAGTGTGCTCCCCGCCCTGATGAAATGGCCTTGGAGATACTTGCAAACTGGCTATATTTTCAGTTCTTAATTTCTCCATGAATTTATTCATTTTTGGGGCTGTCATTCTTTATTTCATAGAGTTTGTAATTTATATATGAGCAACTTACATACACCTGAAAGATGAATAACACTACAGAAATGACACCTTCTCTTTGCTGAAATCTACTTATGCTTCTTTTGAAATCAGGTCTATACTTTTTAAAAAGTTCACTTATTTAATTAGTGAGTGAAAGGGAAGGAGCTGGCACCGCTCATGGCGTGACCCACTGCCAGCCCAGCCCGGACCACGGGCACGTGCATGCCTGGCACACTCAGGGAGGCCTCTGGTTGCCTGCCGGGAGCCTTCCCACCAGGCGTGCTGCAGAGCCTCATGTTTGCTGTTGCACCACAGCCGGCCCTGTCTGCTCCTTTCGGCATATTTTTCTGCTTAAGAGTTTTTGTTGGGAGCAGCAGATGGTGTAATGGTTATGTTGCTACATTTGTATCTCAGTGTGCTCCCCGCCCTGATGAAATGGCCTTGGAGATACTTGCAAACTGGCTATATTTTCAGTTCTTAATTTCTCCATGAATTTATTCATTTTTGGGGCTGTCATTCTTTATTTCATAGAGTTTGTAATTTATATATGAGCAACTTACATACACCTGAAAGATGAATAACACTACAGAAATGACACCTTCTCTTTGCTGAAATCTACTTATGCTTCTTTTGAAATCAGGTCTATACTTTTTAAAAAGTTCACTTATTTAATTAGTGAGTGAAAGGGAAGGAGCTGGCACCGCTCATGGCGTGACCCACTGCCAGCCCAGCCCGGACCACGGGCACGTGCATGCCTGGCACACTCAGGGAGGCCTCTGGTTGCCTGCCGGGAGCCTTCCCACCAGGCGTGCTGCAGAGCCTCATGTTTGCTGTTGCACCACAGCCGGCCCTGTCTGCTCCTTTCGGCATATTTTTCTGCTTAAGAGTTTTTGTTGGGAGCAGCAGATGGTGTAATGGTTATGTTGCTGGACTCCCACGTAGTCGACTACGGTTCAATTCCTGGACTTGGCAGCTTAAAACTCGCACTAGACATGCGTAAAGCCTACACTGAGCATGTGCGTGTATGCCTGAGATCCTGGGAGGAGAACGGAGAAGGGATTGCAGTATGACCACCCCTCCTGGGGGTGATTTCTCAATTTCTGTCTTTCTGGAGAGCGCATGCACCCTGTAGCAAAAATCTCTCCTAAAAAACAAACAAACAAACAAAACCATACAGGGTTTTGTTTAGTAAATTTTTGTTTTTATCGTTATTTCTATTTCGAAAGGTCAGGATCAGGGGTTGAGGCTAATTACTCAACTTGCTTCATAAATCGTACTTACCTCTGCACGGTTTGGATTAGATAAACGTACCGTTTTGCCGACTTGTGCCCACTCCGCGTAGTCTCCTACATCTAAATAAAGCCCTCCGGGTTACTTTGGGTAGTGCTCACCCTTTTTATTACATGGACATTGGCAAGGAGCGCGTCCGTGGGGTGATAAAAGGAAGCGTTTATGTGCTCTGTGGAGAGTCGTGTTCCTCAGGGGTGGCCGGGTCGGCTGGGAAGGCACGGCCACTGCGGGGAAGACTCGTGGCTGTCCAGCACCTGTCTGGACCGGGACGCACTGGCTGCTAGACGTATAAACTGCAGGTGTTTTTAGGTCCAGGGGGTCATCACATACTGGGATGTAAGAAAGGCTCTTTTTCATTTTTTAAGGTTTTCTGGCGTGGGTCTTTGTTATTAGAATAAACAGATGTATAGTTTAGTGTTAACAATGAAAGTGAGACGTTTCTCGGCCCTTTAATGCTCACTCGTATTCCTTTTCTCAAAAAAGAATAGTAGCAGATGTTGATGAACTCATTTTCCTACAAAACGAATGTGTGTTGGCTCCCACAGGTCGTACTCACTGAGCTTAAAACAGCTGCACTGTGTGTTTTCCGTTCGACTGATGCTTTCGATTTTTCTGATACAGATCGAAAGACAGCTTGTTCTGCTCAGCGTCTTAAAGGAGCCCGTGAGCCGCTCCATATTCGATTATGCTTTGCGGTCTAAGGACATTGCCAGCTTGTTCAGACACCTGCACCTGCGCCAGAAGAAACGGAGAGGGTCCCTCCCCGCCTGCCCCCCACCCGAGGACCCCGTCATCGCACAGCTTCTGAAGAAGCTGCTCTCCCAGGTGTCCGCCTCCCTCCGCTCTCGCTTACGGGCGAGTGGGTCGGCTGGCTGGGTTACACACGAACGAGGATATACATTGGACAGTCTTGGGCATGGTCTTCAGAAGCTACGTAAAGGCAGGATGACGATAAAGCACTTGGTTGAGCTAAGCAGAGAGTCACGGGAGACCTAGGAAGTTTCTTTTGCAATGGGTGACTAAATAAATGAAAGAGAGAGAGAGAAATAGCCTAGATTTAAGTTCCATTCTTGATTCAGCCTCACATTTCATCTAAGTATATTGAAACCGGGCTTTAGTAAGCATGGCAAATCTCAGATACAGAAAGACCCTGGTTAGACCCGGAGTCAGATCCCACATCTCAGATACAGCACAGAAAGACCCTGGTTAGGCCCGGAGCCGGACTGGCAAATCTCAGATACAGAAAGACCCTGGTTAGACCCGGAGTCAGATCCCACATCTCAGATACAGCACAGAAAGACCCTGGTTAGACCCGGAGTCAGATCCCACATCTCAGCTCAGATACCGGAAAACCCTGGTTAGACCCGGAGTCAGATCCCACATCTCAGATACAGCACAGAAAGACCCTGGTTAGGCCGGAGTCAGATCCCACATCTCAGATACAGCACAGAAAGACCCTGGTTAGACCCGGAGTCAGATCCCACATCTCAGATACAGCACAGAAAGACCCTGGTTAGGCCCGGAGTCAGATCCCACATGGCTGACCTAGAGCTTTGAGGTCCACAGACGCGGCAGCTCAGAAAGCACACACAGATCCCTGCAGGTGGAGGAAGGCAGGAGAGGGAGTTGCCGTGTGACCGTTTCCCGCTGGAAGGAGCGTTCTCTCTCTCTCTCTCTCTCTCTCTCTCTCTCTCTGTCTCTGGCAAACGCGCACACACCCTCCGGTAAACTTAACGAAAGAGAAAAGGAAAGTCCTGGTCTCTTTCAAGTAAAATTTATAAGAGTTCTCTGAAATAACTTGGTTTTTAATTCATCATAGGTTGATTAGGTTTACTGCTGTATTTTCAATGCATATAAATTTGGATTAATTGACAAATTTTGAAAAGACTGGTAAGAGTGCATTGGAAGGTGTTTTCTGTCTCCCTCCCTTTCTCTCTCTCTGGGGAGTGCATGTGCCCTCTGGCAATTGAAAAACAATAGAAAAAAAGAAATTTCAAAGATGAATTATATTTGGATGCTCCCGTTGGGAAACAAGCTAGGGTCTAAACAGTGACGCAGAGCGGGAAGTACCTGAGTGTTCTGAGGGGCCCAGCAGTGACGCCCTGCTCCACCTGACGCCTGGTTTCCCCTTGAGTTTACGAGCTTCAGTTCATCATTTGGACTTTAGTTCTGCATGGGATGGTTTGACCCTTCAGCTGTGAGTCATTCTGAGGCCTGCTGTTATTCCTGAAAATAAGCTTAAAGGTGTTTTGTTCTTGTCTCAGGGAATGACAGAGGAAGAGGAAGACAAACTTCTGGCACTGAAAGACTTCATGATGAAATCTAACAAAGCGAAGGCCAACGTCGTGGACCACAGCAGTCTGCACGACAGCAGTCAGAAGGGGGCGATCGACCTGGCAGCCGTGGGCATTACTGGGAGGCAGGTCGATCTCGTCAGAACCAGACAAGAACCAGACGACAAGCGGGGTTAGTACGTCTGCTTCTGGTGTGTGTAGCTTGTTGTTAGGAATGGTAAGACAGCATTGTAGCTAGTTGGTAACAAAACGAAAGGCACCATTCACAGATAAAACTTGATGGTGATTCTTGTACCCAGTAGGGACATTGGGGGAAAGGGAAGTGGGGATATAGGCTAATAATTAAGATTTAGTGACCTGGAGCCAGCAGGAGGAGTAACGGTTAAGGTGCTGGACTTCCACATGGCCGACTGTGGTTCAAGTCCTGGACCAGTGACTTGACACTCACGCTGGGCACGTGTGCGTGCATGCACAGAATCCCGAGAGGAGAATGGAGGAGCAGGGATTGTGGCGAGACCATCCCCCTAGGGGATGATTTCCCACTTTCTCTCTCTCTCTCTCTCTCTCTCTGTGTGGTGAGCTCATGCGCCCTGTAGCAAATATCTGTCTCTCAAAACAAAGATTCAGTAACTTGGGGCCAGCAGGCAGTGTGGTGGTCAGGGTGCTCAGTGCCCACATGGTGGCCACAGTTTACGTCCCAGACCTAGTGGTTTGGAAACCACGCCGCGTGTGTGCGTCCGAAATCCCAGGAGGGGAAGGGACTGTGGCGTGCCCACCCCCTTCTCTGACTCTGGTGAGTGCACGTGCCCTACGGCAAGACCTAAGAAAGCTTCAGTAACTTGCCCAGATCATAGCTTTGTGCCTATTCAACCCAGTCCTGATTTTAAAGTTCTAGTTATGATAAAACCTTCTTGCCTTTGTGGAGGTGTGGAATTGAAGATGAAATTCTGTTTTCAGTCCTTTAACCACCAACCCAAAACCAGTAGTCTATGTACATTGAGATAAGTGTTAGTTTATTACTTGTAGGTAATGCCCAAAGAATTTAAAAGAATGATCTTACTGTTACTGAAATATAAGAGATTAGAGGCCGGAGAAGCCTTAACTGTTTGAAGTCTTGATATTTAGAACTATTAGCTTTGTCACATTGAAATCGATTGTATGACAGGTTTTTTTAATTGTTTCTTTTTAAAAAGAGAGATTTTTACTGTAGGGCATGTGCACTTGCTGGAGAGAAAGAGAAAGAGAGACAGAGAGACAGAGAGAGAACCAGAAGGTGAGGAGTCACCCCTAGGAGAGATGACCACACTGCAATCCCTTCTCCTGCCCTCTCGGGATTTTGGGCATGCACTACCCGGCCAGTGGGAGCTGTAAGTCTGGGACTCCAACCGCAGTCGATTGCATGGGAGTCCAGCGATAGTGTGAGGTTTCTTAAGATTGGCCTGCCCGCTTTAGTAGGTATACAAATTGACTTTGAAAAGTTCGTGGAATATGGAATTAAAGTGTGAGTTTGCTGGTACAAATAAAATTTCATGTCCATTCATAATCTTTTCATAATACACATTGGCCATGAGCTTTTTGAAGACTTCACGTATACACTACCAAGTACATGCCTTTAAAAACCCCTCTATTCTGGTACCAGGAGACCGCGTAAGAGTTACCTTGCTGGACTCCCACGTAGTCAACTGTGGTTCCAGTCCTGGATCCGGTGACCTAAAACTTATGCCAGGCACGTTTCGTGCATGCCCCAGATATCAAGGGGACAGTAGAGGGATTACGGAATGGCCACCTTCCTCGGGGATGATTTCTCTCATTCCATCTCTCTCCCCCTCTCTCTGTCTCTCCGAGTGCACGCTCCCTATAGCAAAAATCTCTCTCTCAAAAAAAAAAAAAATCCCCTCTAGTTTAGCATTAGATTTTGAGGTTAGCTAATACATTATATTTAAAAGAAACCTGTAATTGTCAAATTTGGAATAATGTATATGTAACTTAAATAGTAATAGCTTACATGTATAACATGTAAAGCTTTATACCAATCAGAGGAAAAAAGGCAAGCATCCCAAGAGAAAAAAGGAGAAGAATTTGAACAGACAGCTGATAAAGGAATTGAAATGCACATATATAAAAAGGTCAATAATTAAGTAAATGCAAATTAAAGCAGGTGCCGTTTTCTTCCTATGTGATTAGTGGAAAGTGATGATACTTAGTATCGGCAAGGATGTGGGGAAGTAGGCGTTTTCATACAGTGTTAGTGAGTTTATAAACTGAACGTATTCTTTGAAGGCTCTCTGACATTAATCTGTCACTAATTTAAGACGTTCTCGTCGTCTGACTTAGCTGTTTTCAGTTCTGGAAATGTGCCCTAAGGAACACTGACAGGACGGTGAAGGTCTATGAGGAATGTTCCTAGGGCAAACAGAAGAAGCAGTCGAAGTGCGCATTGCTAGAGGAGCGTTGAGTAAATGTTCGAGGTATTCAGTAAAGGAAGGAGCAGGCTGTGAACAGTATTTTCTTTTTGCAAAATAATAGACTCTCACTGAACTGTAGTTTATGAAGTTTAAAGTGGGAGGGCTACGCATCAGGCGATGGTAATTATGGAAGCAGTTATCTTAATGTTAGTAGCTAGAACTTGGCCCTGCATAATATACTTTGTGTCATTAAAGATAGTCTAGTCAGGAGGTAGCTGTATAGCAGTTGTTATTTTATTTCTGTTTGTTTCTCAAGTACTACTGGAACTAAAAGAGGCCATACTTTGCAGTGTGGTCAGTGATATTTTAAAAGCTGTTTTCATTGTTACTTTTGCAGATAAGGTAGTTGGAATTGAGCTAGCCTTGGGAAACAAGGACGCGCTTCGCACTTTCGTGCTGTTATGAACAGGTTAAAAGCGCACTGTCTTAGCTGCCCTGAGAGGAGCTGAGGAGCCGGGTGTGGGCATGGACGACCTTCAGACCCTAGGGACACAGAGGGCGTGAGGTCAATTGCTGCTACCCCTCCCCGCAGGGAAACAACTGTAAAAGCGCATGTTAGTCTTAAAGGCGGTCTTCAGACTTCTGAATGTGTTTTTACAGCTAGAAAACACGTAAAACAAGACTCAAATGTGAATGAAGAATGGAAAAGCATGTTCGGGTCACTAGAACCACCCAGCGTACCACAGGCCCTCCCTAAGGGAAGCGACCAGGAGGTGGTTCCGACTGGGAGGCCGCCTCGCTCCGAGTCCTCTGCCGGCATCTGTGCCCCTCCGTCGACCTCCACGCAGGTGCTGTCACCTAGACTCTTGCTCCCCCCACCCCCACCCCGTCGAGGTCCCCTTCTGCTCTCAGGCGTCCCCACTGTGTGCTGCTCTTAGAAAGGTTTACCTTTCACTTACAGCCAAGGGGAAATGAGTTATCAAAAGCACCAGAAGGTCTCGTTTACAGTACTCGCCGACAGAGTGCTCTGAAACTGAGCTGAGGACACTTTGACCTGTGTGGTGTTCTCCCGTGTCCGCAGCTTCAGTTTCCTTGTCTGTCAGTGAGACTGTCTGACTCACTGCTTTTAGTTCTGAGAATTTACCCTAAGAAACAATGCCACTTAGAACTAGAAACGCACGGGTAAGCTTAACCTTGTCCTAGGTCTGTGTGCACGAGAGAGGGTTGTAGCCGTAGACTCGGTGCTGAGGTTTCAGGTAGCTACGGGATGGTGGGTGGAGTGTCCTGTGAGTAAGAGGGCCATGTATGAGGCCGTAGTGAACCTTTCAGGTTGTTTCTGTGCCTCATGTAAGATTGTTAGATCTATAAAATAGAAAAGATACTCTGGGAAGAAGAGCCATGTTTGCTATGTATGATAAATGTCAGGGTTTTGAAATAACTTGAAATAAGTTTTTAAATTTAAACTCTTTCCCAACTAATAGTATTTTATATGAAAAATATTAATTAAACCAGATTGATACATTGAAATTCCATTTCTTTTCACTTATATTAATAAAGACTTTTATTTAATGTTATTTTTGGGCTATTAATTTTTTAAAAATATGCAATTTGGGAAATGTAATATTTATGGATGAACTTTAAGTTTTCATATAAAGTGTCCTTATCTTTAAGTAAATTTTTAAATTGTTGTATTAATAAAGACAAGAAGCTGGTAGTGCAGAGAGAACGTGGGTAGACCTTATCTTCAAACATACTTGGCTTACGACATAAATAGTTCTGTTTGTTTTGTAGGTTCCTGAAGTGACACATGTCCAAAATAAAAAACCAGTAGTACAGGTTTTAAGTAGTACAATTTTACCGTCCACTTACCAGATTCGGATCACAACTTGTAAAACTGAACTTCAGCAGCTCATCCAGCAGAAGCGGGAGCAGTGCAATGCCGAGCGGATCGCCAAGCAGATGATGGAGAACGCCGAGTGGGAGAGCAAGCCCCCGCCGCCAGGTGGGAGCCCAGCATGCATCGTGTCCCGCCAGGGTCTGTGCCCGAGGCTCATGGAGGAGAGCTCACGGGGGAAGTGAGGACAGAACTGTCGCTTGGGAAGCCTGGAGGGAGAAGCACCAAGGAGAGATAGTGTCGGTGGTGGTGGGATTTGGGTCTCTTATTTCTGCAGCAGCTGGCTGTGCCCCGAGCCAGCGGCCTCGGCCACGTGCCTCCCCTTGCGGTTACTGGCCCTGCCTGCCTGGGTTATGCCGCTTTCTTTCTGAATTTCAGGCTCCTGGGAGTAAATTCCTGCTCTTAGTTTCTGAAGGGCTTAACATACACTTACTCATAACCTTTTAAGAAAATAGTGGATACTTTTCAAAGGAAGACAGAATCGGTTTTGCAGTTACCAGCATTATGATTTTAGGGAAACACTACCGTATTCTGAGAAGATTGAAAAGAAATTGAGAGCTATTTCAGATGAAAAGATGGCGCGACTCCTAATAGCCCCGGCCGGTGTGTGTGGCAGAGCTAGTCTCTCATACTAGATTGACAGGGTTCGAAAAAATGTTTAATGAGTTTCTCTAGATTTTAATAATAAAAATTGAACTCGAATCCTGAGAAGAAATGCATAACATGCTTATATGTCGACTTAGAAACCGTGAGCTTTGATGGGCTTTGATGTGAGCTTAGGAAATGCTGGTAGAGGTCATTGATCTAAAGACCTAGAGAATACCGTTAGTGCTGAGTGTCCTCTCGGCCACGTAATGCTCTTATTAAACACGTACCCAGAATATTCAGACTGTTCGCGTGATATGCCCGTATTACTTACCAGCCCTGCTTTAGAAACAGGAAACACATCAACCTCAGACTGTTGTATGATGGAATGTCTTTGCAGGTGGCATTTTATATCTAGGTGGGGTTATGCTTTTACTGGGGAATCACAGGAAAGGTGTGAGCTTTGTGGTGTAAGAGATGTGCGACGACCGTCTCACTCTTGGTTTCCCTTCCCACACTTGAGTGGCCGTGTGACATTGCTTTTCTTTAGAGGGAAACTGTTCAACCTAGCTCGAAGATTATTTAGACTTCTTGACAAAATGTTTTTGATCACGTTCAGATCCAGCATATCCTCAAAACTCACTCTGACCTGCTGTTCCCACACATGTGAGCTAAAGATACGAGGGGAAATATTTTGTTTTTAATCATAGAATAAGCTGGGTTTGGTGGTAACCTTGGTTTGAATTTTGCTTCTTTTTTTTTTTTTTTTTTTTTTCCTGGAGAGGTTTTCGCTATGGGGGGGGTGCGCTTGCCAGACAGGCAGAGAG